AGTTGTTTTCTTTGGAGTAGTATGGCCCTCACCGCTTTACGAGTTGTGCAGGCCTGCCCTAGCCTGTGGAAAAGGGTACCATATTCAGAATAGGCTCCCTAACTACTTATAGTAACCCCCTTTGCAAACCACCCTTTGTCCCTTCTTGCCCAATCCTCCTTGCCCACCCAACTCTCCTCCAAAACTCACCGTATTCAGGACTTGTGCTGGCCTGTGTGCTAGACAAAGGATAGTGAGAAAGAGGTGTGTGTAACACTTTTGTGTTTCATGGCTGTGAGCACACTCACAATACTGTCTCTACTCATTGTTTCTTTGGCTTCTGCAGATGTGCCCTTCAGGAACCACTCCTCCACACTGGTAGAGCACCTCTGTCAGATAAGGTGCCAACCCAGGTGGAGTAAGGAGGATATGTTTCGTGAAGTGCTGCAGTCAACAGATGCAGCACACAGCGAAACAAGAGCATGGAGGGAGACAATCAACGAAAGACTCAGGCTGGACAGCCAGGAAAGGACACAGGGGCAGGAGCGGATGATAAAGCTCCCGAAGGGCCAGACAGAAATGAATTTCCTCATGAGCCTGCAACCTGAGCACATCCATGCCCAACTCCCCCTCCAACCACTACAGAACTCCAGTCCATGCCGTCCCCAAACGCTCCCATTGCATTCCTCGCACACTCCTGGTCCCTCACAGTACCCCATGCACTCCACGCCTAGGGACTGGTTTCCCAACAAAAGCTGTCGTTACACCCAGCTGTGAGGGCCCTCACCGCGAAACTGTTCCTCTTTGCATGTCCCGTTTGACCAAAAGTTTGGGTTTTATCCTGTTATTAAACTTGAGTCTTTGAAATAAAATGAGTCTTTATTTATGACATGCATACATACATCACTCAATGCTAACAATCAAACACAATGGCTATAAGTAGGAATATTTGCCCCTTGCAATTAATGCTCAGGAAGCAAGCACTACAGGAGTAATTCAAGGTGGCAACTAAGCATTGCCTGGCCAAACGCATCACATAAAGACACATTACTGGGAATCATCATCAAAATGTGCCTTCAAAGCCTCCCTGATTCAAACAGCCTCCTCCTGTGCCCCTCTAACTGCCCTTAGGCTGGCTGCCGATTTTGAGCAGCCAGATACATCAGTCTCAGCAGTCTACCCCTGGGGAAACTTATCCCCCTTTGATTTGCAAATATTAGGTAGAGTACAGCAGACTGCAATGATCACCAGAATATTTTCCTCATCAAGGTCTATCCAGACAAAGAGACAGCTCTAGCGACCATTTAATCAGCCAAAGGCACAATCAACAGTCATTTGGCACCAGCTGAGCCCAAAGCACTCCTTGCTGCTGTCCAGGTTCCTGGTGTAAGCCTCCATGAGGCATGGGAGCAAAGGGTAGGCGGGGTCTCCAAGGATCACTATGAGTATATTTCCACTTTCCCCATTGGCATCTTCTGTTCTGGAAAGAAAGTCCCAGCATTCAGATTTCTATACAGTCCAGTGCTCCAAAATATCATGCACCTTCCCCAACCACCCCGCATTTATGTCAGTGAAACAGCTCCGGTGCTCCACCAGCGCATGCAAGACCATGGAGAAGTGGCCCTTTCAGCTGATGTACACCGTCACAAGATGGTCGGGGGCCAAAATTGGGATATGCGTTCCATTTATCCCTTACTGCAGTTAGGGAATCCCATTGTCTCAGAGCCATCAATTATTTCCTGCGCATGACCAAGAGATACAGTCCTTTGTAGCAGGAGGTGATTATTGGCCCTGCCCACTTGCATCACCACACACCCCCACAGTAGACTTTTGAACTCCAGAGTGATTCATGACTGACCAGTAGCAATCTGGAGTTGCCAGCTTCCACACAGTGATTGCCACTCACTTTTCCACAGTGAGGGCAGCTCTCATTCTAGTGTCCTTGCGCCGCAGAGCTGGGGCAAGCTCTGCATACTGTTCAAGAAAGGTGATCTTGCGCATCCAAAAGTTCTGCAGCCACTGCTCATCATCCCATACATGCATCACTATGCAATCCCACCACTCAGTGCTTGTTTTCCGAGCCCAGTACCACCATGGCAAGCTGTTCCGTGAATGCCAGCAGCAATCTTCAATTATTTGTTTCCATGGCAGAAAGCAGGGCAGGCATGTCCCGATTCATTCTGTTTCACAGTTCATGAAATACTGCAGGACCAGCCATGTAGTGTTCATAATACTCATCACCAGAATGATCAGCAGCTCAGGATCCATGCTGTCAGGCAGAGATGGCGAGTGCACAGTTTACAAGAGCTGTTGAAAAACGGTACGAAACGAAGCAGGAACCCCACGGAATGATGGGATGGAAAGAACTACACCTCTACCCCGATATAACGTGAACCGATATAACATGAATTCGGATATAAAGCGGTAAAGCAGCACTCCAGGGGAGCGGGGCTGCGCACTCCGGCGGATCAAAGCAAGTTTGATATAATGCGATTTCACCTATAACGCAGTAAAAATTTTTGGCTCCTGAGGGCAGCGTTATATCGGGGTAGAGGTGTACATCATGTCCCCATGATGCACCACGACCTGTTTCCAGAACTCCCAGCAGTGGAGGCGGACACAGGGTGTCAAGTTGCACAGTGGGATAGCTATCTACAATGCAACACTCTCTCTGTCAATGCAAGAACAATGACTGTGGATGAGCTCAGCCGACAAAGAGCGTTGTGTGGACATGCTCAACCGATGTTATTAGTGACTTATGATAGTCAACATAACTTACATTGACTTAACTCGGTAGTGTAGACATGGCCTAAAACTAATAAGGAAAGTGAATAAAGAGTTTATGCAAATGGCGAATTAGATAATTGTGTTCATAACCTGCCTCAGTCTGCCATTCTGCATGCGTCCATTACGACCTATGTTCTAAACTACAGGTGAAAAACTAAATGGGGGCTCCTAGAAGCAGGGGTTTTCCCCCACATAAGGCAATGCTCTAAAATAACTGTTTAAAAAAAAAACTAGTGTTTTTCTGCACATGTGCAGTAAACACTATGCAGACAATTTTGCCTATTTACACTTTACATTATTGCAAATTTAACTGTATCAAGGAACTAAGAAATGTACATACGAAATTCTGTTGACAATGGCATCTTCATCCTCCTGCTCATCTGAAAAATAATTTATAGCAGATTTAGTTTATACAGCTACCTATATAAAGAAAAGATGAAAATAAGTTACTAAAATAGAAAAACTATAGGTCAGATCAAAAATTTTGTATTACTAAATCCAAAACCATTATTTTTGTATTCTGTAGTAGACATCCATTTTGTAAATTAATGTTACCCATTTCCATTAGTTTTCTTAAAAGAATATTTTTCTTAATAAAAATTAATGCTGCTTTCCCTCTACCTTTACAGTGCCTTTGCTGGTTTCTTAATCTCTTCAATCAAGACAATTAAAGAGCATTATTTTGCTCAGGACTAAAGGTATGTCTACACTGTGAAGTTGTCGACAAAACTTTTGTCTTTCACGGGTACTTAAAAAAGCCCCCCCGCGAAGGACAAAAGTTTTGCAGACCCAAGTGGTAGCATGAACACGGCTTTGTCAGCAGGAGCACTCTCCTGCCGACAAAGCTAACGCCACTCGTATGGCTGGAAGTATTTAGTCGGCAAAAGTGCCGACGAAGAGTGTTTATACACACTGACTTGCCGCTAAAAGCTGCATGGTATAGACAAGCCCAAAGGGTTACCTCTTTGATGGCCTCTAAGATTAGATTAGTGCATTTGGAGGATAGTCATGGCAGGAAATTCCTTTCTACATCACTACTCTTCCTTAAAATTACAAACAGCCTTCAAACAAGTTGAGGGAAAAATGGGTTTGAATACATCATAAGAATACAGGCTAAAGATATACAAGAAACACCCAGTACTGGAAGAATAGTTGTGAATTTTATATGCAGTGAAAAACAGTACACACACACATACAACAAAGAAAAATACATCAGAACAATAGTAATAACCTGTCCTTGACAACCAGAAGTGATACCATCACCTCTCACCTAGTCTTAATTCCTCCATGAGCCTCTGGGTTTCTCTTCTGGCATTTTAGGGAATTTTCCTTCTCTTATGCCTTAGGTATTCCTCCTATTTATGAAGGGCTACCACCCAGCTTGGAATCTTTACTTCTTTCTTGTTCTCCTCTATAAGCTTATGGACAGCCACAGCCAGAGCCCCCTTTTTATGATGTGGCCTCCAGAACTGAAATTCCACTTTCAAGTTAGTTTTTTTCCTATCCCCTTCAAGTTTTCCATGTTGCCCATCCTGCATTGTCAGTTATTTTCCAGGCAAAAGAATGCACAAAACCGGTCCACAGCAGACCTGAATACATTTCCAAATTTGGATGTGTCTAGTAACAGGCTTGCTTCACACGCCTACAAAAGAATTCCATGCAAGTAGCAGGTATAGCCTCTGTGCTCTTGCCAGGGCAATCATTACATCAGGACCTGGTCTCCCAAAATTAAACAAACAGTTATTTATGCTTAAAAGAAAGCCATGGCCCAATCCTCAACAGCTTGTGGTAGAAGTGGCAAGCAAGTTAATAAAGGAAAAAACTGAGTTCTTCTGTCTGAGATGAAACTATTACAATTATCAAACAGCTCATTGGTACCACTGTGAAATCATGACTGGAGTTTCCAATTTTGATTGCTTATTCAGGCAACTTTAATTTTCTATAAATGTATATCTTCCTATGGAATTAATATAAAAATAATTCAGCTTGTGGACATTTGGTAGGTTCTTTTGATTGTTGCAGGAAAGTGTTTTCGAGTTAAAGAGTCCTTTGTGTAATGGCAGAAATGCTAAAGTTGACTTCTACTTGCATGTAAATTAATAAACAATTAAGTATTTAGAACTGTATAGCATATTCTTAAATTTCAACAAAAAAATCTGACCTAAAACAACTGTCCGCAACCTGTTTCCTATGCAGCATCTCTTAAATGAAAGGATTTTTTAAAAGGACACATGAAGGAAAAATTTGCAGGAAGTTGTAGGGATCTATTTTATGCTTTTGCAGCACATGGAATAGTCATTTGTTTGCTCAGCTACATGAATCCAGTCAGTATGTTGTTACTGTCCTTAAAAGCGGTATAGCAAGTACACAGACACAATCAACTCAGTGGAGCACTAGATAGTGGTCTCTGGCTGACTAAATTAAGCAGAAAAGGAGGGCAAGCCTATCAGCCTTTTTGTGCTTTCACAGCATCCACTTTGAGAGAGATACAGTAGCTTGTAAAAACAATAAAGGAAAGAAATTACTACACTGTAAAGACTTGAAACTGAAAGAGATCTACAGGGATCCTAGTGAAGAGATTCAGCCAGAGTGGAAGCCATCTTCCAATACTCAAGCTGCCCTTTGGCCAAGCCTGGTATCCATGATACAAAGTGCTGCAGTCACAGACTAGTAAGCCCTTCTTCTGAATGAATCCTAACAAGAAAATTCAGGGCTGTAGAGCAGTGCTAAGTAATTGGCCATGTTTGTCCTCTTGCCCTGGCTACCTCAACTGTTAAGAGAGGCGTGCATGTAGCTGGCACCATCCTGAAGGATACAGTTTTCTCAACTGCCTTTGAGATAGGGGAAGTAGTGAATAGGATGTTTCAACCTCATGAGCTGCTCCCTCCATCCTGAGCCCTGTCGTGTCCCCGATTCCGCTCTGTGGAGATGGGGTACAGGAGCAGGGGGAGGGGGACACCCTGACATCAGCACCCCTCTTCAAGGAATCTACAGACTTGTATCGTGTAAGACAATGGCTTCAGCAGTTAGGAGGAGGCTTGAGGCCTATGAACTTTGGCATAGATAAATTTAGGTAAGCCATAAGTTTTGGGGAACTGGAAGTAGAATGTAAGGGGGAATTCTGTCCATAATGACATCAGCCAACCACAGAAACATGAACTAACATCAGTTTCTGGAAGGTTTTGGATGGAACATCCGACCGCAAGAGTATCATAGCAATGAATTGATGTATAAGATAATGGGGTGAAATCATAAATACACTAACCTATAGAAGAAGGACACCTTAACATTGGTAAGGGGAGGAAATACAAATAAGGAAGCGGGGAGAAAGCCCTACTGAATAGGCATTAGATATGGTAACATCAGCGTAACATATTATAAAAGTGGCATCCCAGAGCAGTAGGAGAGGGAGAGATGTAGCCCTTGGGAGGGGCCAGGATGATGGCCACTGATGAAGATGAGGAAGGTGACAATGATGAGGAAGATAATGATTAACATTTTAGGTTGTTCTGCAAGGGATGGTGTGAGTATGGCTGTTCAGATGTACTTTTGTATTATCTCTATCTACTTTACTGAGTTAGAACGTGTGTGACTTTGCTAAATGTATTATAAATTATTTGTTTGTAAATATAGAAGAGTTCCTATAGTTTGAGTGTTGCACCTGTGCACATCGGGGTTCCTAACTATATAATAATTTTAATAATATGGGACTGATCTTGGGACAAGAACCTATTTGGTCTTAAAGTGATAACTGGGGATTTTTATTCATAATCTATAGATCAGGCTACACGTGAAAATGCAGTTGAGCATCTTAAAGTTCAAAATGTGGTGTTAGGA